TTGTGCCCATGCAGAACCTGTACATAGACCAAGAGGCCGTTGTTCGAAAAGAACAAGGAGATACTGCATGGTTAAAAATCAAGAAAGGTGTGCATCAGGGTTGTATCATTTTACCATACTTACTTATTCAATCTATATGCTGAGCAAATAATCCAAGAAGACGGACTACATGAAGAAGAACACAGCATCAGGATTGGAGGAAGACTCATTAATAACCTGTGATATGCAGATGACACAACTTACTTGCTGAAAGTAAAGAGGAATTGAAGCACTTACTAATGAAGATCAAAGATTACAGCCATCAGTATGGATTACACCTCAACATACAGAAAACAAAAATCCTCACAACTTGACCAATAGGCAGCATCATGATAAACAGAGAAAAGATGGAAGTTGTCAAGGATTTCATTTTACTTGGATCCACAATCAATGTTCATGGAAGCAATAGTCAAGAAATCAAATGACATACTGTATCAGGCAAAACTGTTGCAAAAGAACTTTTTAAAGTATTAAAAAATGAAGCAAAGATGTCACTTTGAGGACTAAGTTGCACCTGACCCAAGCCATGGTATTTTCAATTGTCTTATATGCATGCAAAAGCTGGACAGTGAATAAGGAAGATCAAAGAATTGATGCCTTTGAATTATGGTATTGGAGAAGAGTATTGAATACACAATAGACTGCCAGAAGAATGTACAAATCTGTCTTAGAAGAAGTACAGCCAGAATGCTCCTTAGAAGCAATGATGGTGAGACTTTGTCTCACACACTCCGGACATATTATCAGGAGGGAACAGTCCCCTGAGAAGGACAACATGCTTGGTAAAATAGATGGCCAGCAAAAGAGAGGAAGACCCTCAGGAAGATGGATTGACATGGTGGCTACAACAATGGGCTCAAACATAGCAATGATTGTGAGGATGGCACAGGACTGGGCAGTGTTTCATTCTGTTGTACATAGGGTTGCTATGAGTAGGAATTAAATCAATGGCATCTAACAACAACAATTCTATGTAACACCTTCATAATTCAGAGATTGACCAGACCATAAACTTCAACTATCACTTCATTATGACAACCAAAGAAAAAGAGTGTAACTGAAAAATCCAAACCATACTGGCTGGTATTATTACTTTAGCAGCTTGTTTTAGCAGTTTTGAATCTCTGTCATCTCTCCTGACACATTAGAAGACACTATTCTGAGAAACAGAAAAATTTGAATTTACTCAATTTACTCAGATCAGCTGATTAAGAATTCTAGGGTTCTGAGCATTGTTCTTAGTTTTCTAAGACATGAAATTGTTCTAAGAAATAGACAGGAAGACATAAATAACAATGCTGATATTCTTTATTGTTTGTGTTTGCAGCCCTACATTGATTCCTGTAAACACCTCATTCTGGTCGGGCCTTCACAGCCAAAGTGAAGTCACAGTAAATTTCGTTACTAGAGAAATGCAAGTAAAATAAAATATTTTTCTTGACTTAGTTAGGCAAATTATTTGCTTATGATTTGGTATTTTACAAAAAGATTCCCTGTATCAGCAGTTTTATGATATCAACTCTAAGTCAGAGTTGTGAGCTGTCCTTGAAACAGCATTTATCTCCAATTTAATAATTTAATTTTTTACATCTGTAATATTTGACCTGTATTATTGAAATTTAAAAAAACTAAAGAAACTGGTTATTCACAACAGGTTAATCAACTAACAAATATACACTGAAGAATATATGTTGCACCCCAAATGCTAATAGTCCCCTAATTCATATTGAAATGAAAATATTTCTTATTTTGATTTAAATTATAAGAAGGTGCTCTGGGGTATGTAAGAAACCACCAGTTTTCTAATTTTAAAAAAAATCAATAGTTGTAATTCTGGAAGGAAGAACACCAGCCATTGCCCATAATAGATGTAGGGCAGCTTGATATTGAGGTTCGTAAACTAAAAAGAAGCATTTAAAATATGAAAGTGTAGTGACTAGTTATTTTTCATTTTAATAATAGCGTTAAGTTCAAATAGGTGAGATTTGTTGATTAAGGATTCAATTAATTTTTAAAAGCTCCTTTATATCTCTTTATAAAACATAAAAGTATTCATTATTTAAAAATATGTGAATAGTCTCTTTTCAAGCTTTATGAACGGCAACTCCATTTCTCCCTCAGTATTCACTAACTAAAATTGACCCCAAGATGACCCTGCTGATGTCAAATCTTTCCTTTTTGACTTCTTATTGGGTGAGAAAAAGTAAGGCAATACACTAGCATGACTCAAGGTACTAATACCCTTTAATTACTCTTCAGTTATTTACATTGGATCTTCCACACAAAACAGCTGAGAGGTCAACTCCACCTACTGCAGAGCAACACCTGACAGGCACAGGGAAAGGTAATCATATTGAAATGTCTAGATAGAAAGATTCCTTTTCACAGGAGTTAGTTGGGACACCGCTAAAGTCATTTTAAAAACACTTTTCCCTCCTATTCTCCTTTGTCATTATACTTGAATATGTCTTGGCATCATTTTAATATTAATTCTAACCTAGACCTTAGATTCTGTCGTGATCTTATGATCACATTTATTTTTAACTGTACTTTGGGTTACCCTCAAGAGCAGATGCTGGTTAGATTACAGAAGATAATATCAATTCTAAATAAGGTTTTCAAGTCAATGAACCTATCCTACAGCCGAATGCAGAGGGTAAAATTCTCAGGAAGTTGGGCCCATAATAATCCAGACTGATCCCTTCATTACTTTTGAATTTTATTTCTACCTAAAGGTTATAATATGATTTGATTTGTTACGGTACACTTGTTGTTTTAAAACATGCCTTTTATATTCTCATGAAAGCTGAATAGTTTTACTGTTTCATGAATTAGTTCTGTTTTACCAAGTGTTGGGAGTCCCTGGGTGGTGCAAGTAGTTAGTGTGCTCTGTTGCTAACCAAAAGGTTGGAGGTTTGAGCACACGCAGAGATGACTTAGAAGAAAGGCCTGGTGATATATTTCTGAAAAATCAGCCATTAAAAACCCTATGAAGCAGTGTTCTATTCTGACATACGTGGAGTCACATGAGTCGGAATTGACTCGACAGAAACTGTACTAGTACTGGTATCAAGTGATAAAGTAAATGCAAGTACTTATTGGTTTAAGTAGCTGCTATATAAAGCATGATCATACCTTTCTGATCTATTTTTATGCTATAAAGGGAGGAATTACCACCATTTTACAGAATGTTTTATTTTATTGTATCATATCATTTTGTGTAAATTGAAGTCTGTGATTCCTTGTAGAAAGATTTTTGTTCCGTCTATAATTTTAAAAGGAAACTAGCAAATGAATAGTTAAAACTAAACTCCATTCCTCTCAATGAAACTTGAGTTTGCAATAGGTTGTACAAATCTGATTCCCACAAGCTCTTCCCATTTAACAATGTGCTATAAATGGTTCCGAAGTCAGCTTAGTAAAGAGCTTTCCTAGTCATTATTATCGGAGGCAAGTGGAGTCTGATGTCCTATCCTTTACTTTCCCTGGGCTTTATTTAACTCTATGACTCGCTTTTGTAAAATTCAAAGTTTGTAATGACTGTAAGTCTACACAAGTAAGACAATAGCAATAGCTGTAACAAGATATAGTTTATCTTTCCATCACAAATTGAATATGTAGTTAAATTTTAAAAGTTTTAGGTGTCAGATGTATCTTCCTAAAAAGACAATTTATTAAATATCAAATAAACAAGTGTGACCCAACACTCCTTTAGATATTTCCGTCTAAGCAGCTGTGGCTGTCATAGCTATATTTTCCTCACAAAACAATCAAGTTAACCATATCAGTGTTGGTTATGGAAAAGCAGATTATAAGAATGCAGCTTCAGAAAGCACCCTCATACAATTCCCCCACCTCCCATCCCAATCCTACTTGTTTGTGTTAGATTGATCAGGGAATCACAGAATTTTAGAGAGCACTTAGTCCAAACTCTCATTTTACAGGTGGGAAAACTAAGGCCCAGGGAAGGGAAATAACTTGACCAAGTTTACCAGATAGGAATAGAGCCTGGGCTAGAACTCATTCATGCAAAGTAATGTGTTCTGTCTCTAGTCCCAAAACACTCAGCTGGGTTCTGTTGTTTATACAATTGTGCCTAACTCTTTAACTTGGCATTTAAGGCCTTTCCTTTTTCTGCTCCAAACTTTCTTTCCAATTTTACCTTTACTTTCTCATGCAACACTCCAATCAAAATATCCATGAATATTCTCAAGGCTTTATCCTCTACTTGAAAAGAATCTTTCCCTAATAATGTCTGCATGGGTAAGTCCCACCTATATGTCATCTCCTACACAAGGACTTTCTTGATCCTCTTAACTGAAACAATCTATTGAAAAACATTTTTGTGTTTTTTTTTTTTTTACCTTCTTTTACCTTACAATGATATGTTTATGTTACAGCTCTTCTCCTAAAATCATTGCTGCTTGTCCACGAGGCCTGCATTAGATCCACCTACGTAATTTTGAGACTTTGCATAATACCTTGCTCCTAGTCATTTCTTAAGAATCCCTGGGTGGTACAAATGGTTAACACAATGCAAAAGGTTGAGGGTTAGGTCCACCCACAGGCACCTCAGAAGAAAGGCCTGGCAATCTACTTCTAAAAACTCAGCCATCAAAAAATGCTATGGAGAACAGTTCTACTGTGATATACATGGGGTCGCCATGAGTCAGAATTTACTTCACTCGAAGGCAGTTGAAAACTCATTTCTTAGTACTTGTTAAATGAGTGAATGAGTGACCTTATAATGACACTTTCATTAATATAGTCTGAAATTAAATTTAAATATTTTTTACTCTGGGTTTGGTTTTTTAATACTTTTGATAAATTAGATTTTTCTACATTGGCTAAACTACTCATAAATCTGACTTCAAAACAAACCAAAAAACAGCACAGAAAACATTGTATGCAAATCATTCCTGAATTGTTAGTAACAGATACTTTTAATTTAATTTTTATTTTTAGGTGCAATGATGAAGGGCTTTCTCTTGTCTGTGAATATCCTGGCATTAACTTTGCCCTTTTTGGTAAGTTAATTCCATCCAATTAATTTGTATTAAGACTTTAGAAAAAAGTGCTCTAATTATGCAAATTCTAAATATAGCTGTATGTCATAGAACAAAATAGTTGCATATTAGCTATATTTTCTTAAAATTAAATTTATTTTTATGTTCCTTTTTATTATAAAATTAAAGTCGTATACTTTTAGTTCCCAGGAGCTAAGAAATCACATTTTATCAAGTATAGAAAGCCTTTAAAGTTCTTGTACTATAGAGAAAATACATTCTGGGTAAAGAACAATACTAAAATTATTTTAAAATTGTAAAATGCTTTAAAAATAATTCATAAAGAAAAAAACAGAAACCATGATCCAGGATCAGAAATTCTTTCAATTAAATTTGTATCTTACCCACACTCCAATCTTTCATATATATATATATATATATATATATGAAAACTATGAACTAAGTGGAAAAATATGAGTTATCATGCTCTTGGAAAAATCAGGATACTAAAATGAACATATACCAAGGAATACATAATATAGATTGATGTTGTATCAAGGTGGTTAGATAGTAGAATTTTTGAGGAGGAGGGGTAGGCAAGCTTTTTATAATGTCCATATTTATCATTTTTTAAATTTTAAACTAATGAGTTAATACATTTAGGGAAAATCAAGTTTCTTTGTCAATAATACACCCTGGGTTTTATTACTTAACTCAAATTTCTTGTTTTCTATACCTACACTTTCCAAAAAGTTTCTAGAGTCCTTTTATATCCAAAGTGTATATGTGAAAAGTCTTAAACTAAAACTGTTCATTTACAATCATTAACTTTATGACATCCCCTCATAAGTTTATAAAACCTTTGTGAATTTTCAAAACCCTAGGCTTGTTGCAATCCAGAATTAAGAAAGTACTATAAAAACAAATGAAAGATGATGAAAGAAACTATTATTTAACATTTATATACCCATAATACACTAGAGGCAATAATTTAAGTCTTCTAAGTAAACCTGAGATGTTATCTCTGAGTGAGAGCAGAAAAAGAAAAATATGCTCAATGCTCCTCTCAGTTTTCACAACGGACCTTTAGTACAAACTGAATACGTATTATATTTTTCATTTAAGCAAATATTTTTTGTATTTGTTGGCATGGAGATAAAATTATCAGATTATTTTCAATGGTGACATTTTCTCCTAGGTAGTGATTTTTAAAAACAATTGGACCGTAGAATTCATTATCACTATTTTAATCAATATACTACTGTTGCTCTGTGTGTGATTTACAGATCTTACAGACTGAATAGTCATAGAAAATACTTGTCAATATTAAATGAAGACAAATAGTACATATTTTGTCTTTAATACATAAGATACTTTTTAAAACTACAAATATATCTAGATTCTGCCTTGCTTTTCTTTACTTCTTTTTTCTTCTTCTTATTACTTTATTTATTTATTTGTTTATTTATTTATTTTCTGAACCTCCCCAGGCTGCAGAGGTGCAAAACCCGGAACAGCTAAGAGTAAGTTTATTTTAATTATTTCTGTTAGAGTTGTAAGCTCAAAAATATAATTCTTCTGCAAAATTTAATGATATTAAAGTTCTTTCTGTTTAACAATGAACTAAATATTTTAAATTCCCCAAAACAATATAAAAACGTTTGCAGAAAGCATCACTTCAGCAATCAATCATATGAATCAACTTCAATATCCACCTGGTTTCATTTTAGAGCCTAAGTCATGTGTTATTGGTTTTCATATGTTTAACAACGTGAGGAAACCCTCAGCGTTTAATATTAGAAAAAAATGGAAGTAAAAGTAAAGCTTTAAAATCTCTCCTGCCTTGCTTTTAAAATATCTGACTAGTCTTTGAACACCTCTAATGTGCTCGTATGTACCCCCCTTTTGTTTTCCAAATAAGTTTGAATGACTACATTTAAATATGTCTACTTTTTTGAAGAATACTTGTTTTACAGGGTAATTTTATTGATTTTTTTTCTATTTATATAGAGAGGTCTACTAACAAATTGCTATAATTGTGCATAATTGATAAAACCAAGGCAAATAAAAATAAAATATCTTCTAACTTATCTTTTTTGGAAAATTCAGCTAAGAAAACACAAACTATAAAATCTAAGTGTCCCCTCCCCACCATATTATTTTAGTATTCTGTTAAAATTTGTTTCAAAAAAAAACAAATGTGCCCTAGGCTTAATTTCTGAAAAAAATTAAATTTTTAAAGAATTACAAATACGTGTAATTTTTCTAGCTTTTGTTTTTTAATAATACTTATAATACCCAACATTTATTGAGCATATTCTATATATGTCAAGCTCAGGACAATGTGTTTTCCATTGTGAATTACCTCATTTGTTTGAAGCAAATGATTTTTAATATTTGCTGAAAATTATGAAGTGTAAGGGAAATCTCCAAATCCATATCTTGTTCACTATTTCCAATTTCGTACTTACTCAAAGTCATATACTATAACATTAGTTCTAAAGCTGCTGATTTAAGATATCTCTACATTCCAGTCTATGACAATGACTTTTCACATAATTTTTTTTCTTATTGCAGTGCCTTGAGAGCGATGAAAGATGGTTCTGTCAGAAAGCAGTCAAATATGTTCCAAATAATTATGTGCTGAAGAGCTATTATTGTTACGAACCAAATTATTACCAACGTAGGCCAGCTGTACCAATCAATAATCCATACATACTTCACCTATATCCTGTAAAACTAGTTGCAGTTAGGTCACATACTCAAATTCCTCAGTGGCAAGTTCCATCAAATATCTACCCATCCCCATTAGCACATCACAAATACCTCAAACCATCATTTATTGTCATTCCCCCAACGAAAATTCAGGATAAACCTATAATCCCTCCCTTCGACACCATTACTACTATCGAGGCTACACATAGTCCTACCATTGAACCAACGGTAAACACTGTCGTTCCTCCCGAAGCTTCCTCAGAGGTCATCGTCACAAATACACCTGAGAGTACCACAGTCCCAGTTATTTCATCCCAGGTCTAAAAACAGGTATGTGAGCAAAAGATATGAATGAATAATCAGACAAGATGCATGGGTTTACCAATACAATCATAAATCCTAAAATATCGATAAAGTAGTGTAATATGGGAGCAGGCAAAATATACTAATTATATTTCTAACTTGGTGGTGCTGTAGCAGTGATGCACTAGATTCTGTTCTAACAAGAAATAATAAACAACCTTTATTTACAAAATGAAGAAAATTGGGGGTTTTATTTTCAAACATTGATTTTTCAGTCATTGGAACACCCTTAGAATTTAATTATTACTTTTATCTCATCTCTATTCACATACAAACTAAGATCACAGAATAAACTACTATTTCAAATTCTCACAATTTTTCTTACCTGAAAAATGTGTCTCTTTAGAACAAGTTATATATGAGAGTAAATATTCCTTAATTATTTAACAGAGCACGTACGTTATAATTTTGGTATGAAGACAGTGCAAGGAAATGATTTATTTCCCCTGAAGTCCTTATTTCAAGCATCATTTCTGAAATGATCCATGGAGTTAGGCACGTGAAATTTCTCCCATCCTAAGATAAACCCATGGAAGAATTATAATGCTTAACTTGAAAAAAATACAAATATTAAGAAGGATACTTTTAAAACCTTGAATATTATGCAAAATGTTACCATTTGTTATTTGGATCAATGGAAAACGAAAAAGTCTAAACTAATTTGAAATATATGGAACAATGTTAAAAGAGAAAGTTTAATAAAATAGAACATGGCTGAAGAATATGAAATTATTTGGGAAGAAAGTTATGGAATTTTGAGTTTCTTTGCAACAAATATTTTCATTCCATTATACCATTTACCTATGTTGTGACCTAAAATATTACACAGTGATCTGTGATGTGATGGAAATAGCATCAGATTGAGAAAGCTACTTCTCCCATGTGTGACCTTAGGCGAGTCATTACTCTCTCTGAACCTTCATTTTCTCATAATTTTGGTTGATATGATACTCAAATGACAAGGCATACGTGAAAGAATTTTAAAAACTAGCCAATTTCTACAATATCATGTATTAGAAAAGGTAAAAGTGAAATTAATAAATACTAAAACTTATTTTTATCTAATATCCTAAGTGCTAAGTAATAAAAATTTTATATAATTATCTGTTGATTCCTATAACAACCATATATGAATCAGATTTTATTAATACCTTGAATTTATGAATAAAAAATAGGCCTAAGGATATTAAGCAAATTATCACAACTAGAAAGTGGCAAAACTGGAAGTCAAACCAAACCTGTTTTATTTCTGACAGCGAGGCTTAATTACCATGCTATTTACTTCCATACTCATGGCGACCCCATGTGTTACGGCATAAAACTGCTCCATAGGGTTTTCTTTACAGAAATAGATTGTCAGGCCTTTCTTCAATGGGACAATTGGGTAGATTCAAGCCTTTGACCTTTCAGTTGGTGCAAACCATTTACACCATTCTTTTTTGGTTTTTATTTCCATACTGGCTGTTTAATTTGCTGTAAAAGAGAGAAAACACACTGTGATTTTCTTAAATCTGCATATGCATAAATTGTGATTATTCAGATGCAATTTAACAGGGCAAATGTTAAGAAGAAAAAGGATAATAAGCTGAGAAAATATTTCACTTACTGAATTTTAGAAAACAAAACAAGAAAATTAATGGTGACAACAGAAAAGCCAGTATAATTTAACATGTAGTCATATATCGTAACTGATTCAAAATATAACATCATATGGTTATGTTTTAATAGAATAATTATTATTTCAATAGTTGCATTTGTCCAAAAATCATGCTCCTAGATTCCTGAATTAAAAAAACCACTATACACTATTACTAAAAAAGACATATGTAAAGGAGAATGTCTTTCAGTAAATATTGAGTGAAATCTAATATTTTCAGTTCAAAATATGACAGTTGATGCATAGGTTGAAAGCTACAGTTGCTAACCCAAAGCAGTTCAAATCCACCAACTGCTCCTTGGAAACCCTAGGGGGCAGTTCTACTCTGTCGTGTAGGGTTGCTATGAGTCAGAACTGACTTGACAGAAACAGGTTTTTATATGACAGTTAATTTGATAAAGTAATTGGATACCAACATGTAAGAGCTCGGTCGTGGAAGCAAAATAAACGTCTTTATGTGATGAGAACTCTTAGCACACTATGATCCAAATTCCTAAACTATCTCTCTTTTTAGGGCTTGCTGAAGTCAAACGACTATTTCAAACTCTCCTTCAGCGACTTGTCTGACTTCGGTCAAGAAAGAATGTGATTTTCATGGATTTGACTCATTCTGTTCTTTCCTTCCATTTTACACTCATGACATATTTAACTTTTTGATTCTTGCACAATTAAGTCAACTGCATGCAACTAGATCTCTTCACTTGAGAGGAATCTGTGACTAAGTTTCAGAGAACTCTGAAACCTTGAAATTCCAATGCAAATTTAGTGTGAGTTTGAAGATAGGAGTTTATCTGTAGGCGTTGTTCACAGTTTCATCAGGTTCTCAAAGTGCTCCATGACCTAACACTGATTAAGATTTTCTTCTCTAGAATAACACAGAACATCTAAACCTATGGCTGTCACTGGGACAAGAGAAGCAAACTCTGGTGTTCCGATCCAGAGAACCACTAAGTCACTCCTGGGAGACACAGGAACTCTGAAGTTAGCATTAAATTTAAGTGTTCAAATGAATTAACTTTAGTCTATATCATTTATTAACTTTAGTCTAGATCATTCCCAAGAGGAAGTTCTGGGCTCAGGAAAGCTACAGAGGACTACAGCTACAAATACAGATAAGTAGCAAAATTACACAAGCTGGTAGTGACTCTATAGGCATGCATGACCAGGTTCCTCCAGACCAAAAGACACAGCCCCACATCTTTCCAAACACCACACACACATACACACACACGCACACGGAAGCTTCTGGAGTTGAGATTCTCCAGCCTAGAAAAATCAGTGAATATTCAATGTTCGGAAATATGATCTAGCTTTTCACTTAAATAAATATTTCAAAGAACATTGCAGGTCACATATGCTTATCTCATATTTAATACATCTTACTAGGAAAAATACAAATCACTCACTCCTTATTAAGTACTTACTGCCCACCAGTCTAATGTTTTTCTATAACTCTAAACAGATAGGCTGTTTTAGGGGTAATTCACAGGCTTTTAACCTGCTCTCTTAAAGGCTAGAATCTGGGAGAGAGGCGTGGTCAGGAGCATGGCATGACTGTGCATCATTCACTATGACCATTAATAATATTAATTTCTTGATAAACAAAATAAAATTATGAAAGTGGTAAGATTTATTGCAGTAATTTAAAAGACTTTTATTTATTACCTAAAGGAGCCATTGGAGCCCTGGTGGCACAGTGGTTAAGAGCTCAGCTGCTAATCAAAAGGTCGGTAGTTCAAATCCACCAACTGCTCCTTGGAAACCCTATGCAGCAGTTCTACTCTCTCCTATAGGGTTGTTATGAGTCAGAATCAACTCGACGGCAACAGGTTTTATTGTTGTTTATAAGGAGCCCTAGTGACACAGTGGTTAAAGTGCTCAGTTGCTAACCATATGTTTGGTAGTTCGAACCCACAAGCCGTTCCATAGGAGAAAGATGTGGCAGTCTGCTTCCGTAAAGATTACAGCCTCGGAAACCCTATGGGGCAGTTCTACTCTGTTCTATAAGATCTCCATGAGTCGAATCAACCCAATGGCAGTGAGTTTGGTTTTTTGGTTTTAGTTGTTGTTGTTGTTAGTTGCCATTGAGTCAATTCTGACTCGTCATGACGCCTGTGTGTCAAGTAGAGCTGTGTTCCATAGGATTTTCAAGGCTGTGACCTTTCAGAAGCAGATCTCCAGACCTGTCTTCTGAGGCGCCTCTGGGTGGGTTCAAACAGCCAACTTTTCTGCTAGTAGCCAAGCCTTTAACCATTTGTGCCACCCAGGGACCCACACCTACATACAAGGTGTTATAAGAAACATTGCAGGGATACAAAATAATAATATTTTCTAACAATGAGCCTTACAGTATGGATTACACCTCAACATAAAGAAAACAAAAATCCTCACAACTGAATCAATAAGCAACGTCACGATAAACAGAAAAAGACTGAAGTTGTCAAGGGTTTCATTTTACTTGGGTCTACTGTCAACAACCATGGAAGCAGCAGTCAAGAAATCAAAAGACGCAATGCATTGGGCAAATCTGCTGCAAAAGACCTCTTTAAAGTGTTGAAAAGCAAAGATGTCACCTTGAAGACTAAGATGCGCCTGACCGAAGCCATGGTGTTTTCAATCACCTCATATGGATGTGAAAGCTGGACGATGAATAAGGATAACCAAAGAAGAATTGATGCCTTTGAATTGTGGCCTTAGCGAAGAATATTGAATATACTGTGGACTGCCAAAAGAATGAACAAATTTGTCTTGGAAAAAGTACAACCAGAATGCTCCTTAGAAGGAAGGATGGCGAGACTACCTCTCACGTACTTTGGACATGGTATCAGGAGTGATCAGTCCCTGGAGAAGGACATCATGCTTGGTAAAGTAGAGGGTCAGCAAAAAAGAGGAAGACCTTTGATGAGACGGATTGACACAGTGGCCGCAACAATGGGCTCGAGCATAACAACGATTGTGAGGAAGGCACAGGATAGGGCAGTGTTTTGTTCTGTTGGACATAGGGTAGCTATGAGTTGGAACCAACTTGACAACACCTAACATCAAATAGGCCAGTCAATCTTCTATTCATTTACATGTATTTATTTATCTAACATGTACTCATGTGCTATATATGATGATGATGTTAAGCATGATGATGTTGATGATGAAAGAAAAAGAAATGAAGTAATTTTCTCCAGGTAAACCTGGGTATATTAGGCTGGGTTCTCTAGAGGAGCAAAACCAGCATATATATATATGCAAATATATAGAGAGAAAGGTTTATTTCAAGGAAATGGCTCACTGAGTCGTGAAGGCTCACAAG